ATCATGGCTTTTAGCATTTATTCTTCTCTAGAAGCCCACCTCCACAAAGGGCTGCCATCCAGCACATTGTGTTTGGGCCAGTAAGAGGGAAACATCCCTATTCCAAGGGAGGAAATCACTTTATACACAAAGCACATGCATTCAGACTAATGAATGAACCAGCGCCTCTCAGCCTCACAATTCTTCAGGTTCTCACAGTTTCCTGCAGGCGTCAGCAAGTGGTTCCACCCTTGTTCCTGTCTTGGATGCCAAGCTCTCCATAACTCCTCTCCTGAAGCAAGGTCCTTCTACATGATTTCTCCCTCTTGACACTAAAGAGGTGATGCTGTCCTGGCCTCTGGGCTCACCCAGAGCATCTGATGGGCCTCTGTCTCTCAGAGAGGGGCCGTGGAGTGTAGGAGAAGTGGCCTTCATAGCCAGGGGCTTGGCTTCAGGCCCTAGCCCCAGCTAGCCTTCTTACCTGGGCAAGTTATTTATCCTCTCTGAGCTTTCATTTCCTTATCCATCAAAGGGAGATAAAGATCCCTGCCTTATAGGGTTCTACTGACCGTCTCTCAGTTTACTGTCCTGTGGTAGCTTGCATGTTGCTGTGATGTTGGAAGGTATGCCACAGATATTTTAAATACCAGCAAGGTCACCCAGGGTGGACAGACTTCAGGAGAGCTTCCAAACTAAGACGGACTAGGAAGGAAGGCCTGGTGATTTACTTCTGAAAATTAGCCAGTGAGAACCTTATGAGTCAGGAGCACAGCCGAGGCATATGTCATCAGGAGAGATGAGTCGCTGGAGGCGGACATCATGTTTGGTGAAGTGGAGGGTCAGCAAGGATGACAGGGACCTTCAGGGAGATAGAATGGTACAATAGCTGCAGCAGTGGACTTGAACATGCCAGTAATCGTAAGGGTAATACAGGCAGGCAATGTTTTGTTCTTTTGTACGTAAGATCGCCATCAATCAGAGTTGACTCAACAGCACCTATCTATCTCTATCTATCTGTGTCTGTCTGTCTTCCTGTCTATCTGTCTCTCTCTTTCTACCTACCTATCTCTGTCTGTCTGTCTATCTATCAATCCATCCATCCATCTACCCACCTACCTACCTGTCTCTGTTATAAGGTTGCTGTGAGAAAGACAGGACAGGCAAGGTAAGATTCACCAGTGGTCTTGCAACTGTGAAACATTGTACCAATGTTAACTTATCATTACCCCTGGCCCTCTGGCTTCAGTCTTGGGTTATTCGTTCCCACCTTCTGCTTCTCATAACGTTCACGGGCTGCATCTAATCAGCCTGCTTTCTGAGTCTCTCCAAACAACTAACCCTGTCTTCTCTTTCCTCCTCCCTGTCTTCAGTTCATACCACCAGGCCCCATGCCAGAGACACTCACATTCCCCACACTTAGTCCCATCCTTCCACTTTCAGAAGCCACATTTATCTCCATAAGAATGGCCTTTGAGTCCGGAGCCTAGTCCCCATGCTGGAACATGCAAACCCTGAGTGAGAAAAAATATTAGATCTTCAAATGACATTTTTTAATCTTAAAAAGAAAAAATAGCTCTGTTAATTTATGTCAGGGAGTCATGTGTCACTTCCTCAGGGAAGAGTGGGGAGTCCAAGAGAATGCGATACCTCCTCATGTTTGTCTTTGGAGTATTACAACATAGTGTAGTTCACAGTGGTCAGTTTACTGGATTTTCAATTTTGTTGTCTATTGTTAACTAAACCCACTCTTAAAAAAAAAAAAAAAAAGGATAAGCCACTCCAAAATATTTCTATAAAGAAACTATGGATTCAAAGTAATACTAATAATATAATCCTAAACAAGCATTAAAAAAAAAAATGCCATGCTGACACACTTCTCTTCTTCATATGGCCTCTCGTGTATAATCAGCCACGTAAGAAAGTAAAAATGATGATCTAATCATATTTAACTCAAAATGTACCACAGGACTATGAAATGTACCACAAGACTATGAAATATGGATGTATATCCATTCTTATTAACAACAAACTTTGTCTTATATGTAGAATATGTCTTGAAGTAGCAGCTAATGGTATAGAGTAAAAGCCATCTTGATGAGAAAAACATTCAAAGACATTGAGAACATAAAACTTTGCTATACAATTGAATGAAAGTACAGATATTTCTAGCATGTCTTTTGGTGTTTGCAAGATTCTATTTCAACAATAAAATAGAGGAAGAATTATCTTTCTGTAAGCCACTAAGGGAAAGATAGGGAGCTCTGGTGGCGTAGTGCCTAAGG